TGGTCTTCGAGATTGGTTGTCGAGATTGGTCGCCCTTCTCTAAGCGTCTCGGATGTACCTGTAAAAAGGACTCCGACGATCAAGTTAGTTATCTGATGTATATCCTTAATCTCTATATATACCTGTGGCGTTTTCCCGATCTAACCGCTATGGCTGTTCTCGATGGTAAGTTATTAATAGTTAAGTCAGCCATTTTAATGATAAGTTATATGTCGGATATCAGTTGTATGCCGAGGTGTCATTGACAAGTTAAGTAACAACAATTCTCCCATTAGCTCATCTGCCATGTTAGCCTTATATTATGATCTCGGCATGACCTTGGTATCTCGGTTCTATATGCCAAGTTGGTATCAGGTTGGTATAGTTTGAAAATAAGATTACAATCACGTGTTTGTTTGCAAGAAAACTAGGGTTTGTAATCCCCTCATTTAACCCGCCAAGAATTCTTAATTTTATAGTAAGTGAACTCATCCTCTTCATTATATATGTATCAAATCTCTCTGAAGGAAAAATACTAATTATACATATCAAATCTACCTGTAGGAAAAATACGCTTTTATAATTAATTAAGAGGGTCACACAATGTACTATGTATAAATATTTAGATTTTATTTTCTGTGTGTGGTTCAGGAAATATATTAATCATGGGCATGCCTAAGGATGATTACTACTGGAATCAAGTTACGAAAGAGAAAAATGGTACGTTCAAGTGTAATCACTGTGGACACAAGTTTAAAGGAGGCATTTACAGAATTATAGCACATATGGATCGAAAACAAGGAAAAGGCATTCATATATGCTCTATTGATAGTGATAATGACGGAGTTCATAACAATAATATTAGGCTAAAAACCTATTTTAGTCCCTTATAATAATTGTTTGTTTCAATTTAGTCCCACTTTTATTTTTTGTCTCAATTTGGTTCCTAATAAATTAATTGGTTGCAATGTTAGACTTTTATCTAAATTATTTAGACAGAGTTAATTGTTGGCCACGTGGATGCCACGTGGAAGCTACGTAGATGCCACGTGCAAGCTACGTACATGCCACGTGGATGTCAAATTTTGTCATGCATCTGGAACTGGAATGGTCCGTTCTGAAACTAGAACGGCCCGTTTCGATTGCACTCATGGTGTGTAAATTTTACATCTAGAACGTCCCTTTCCAGATGCATTATTTAACACCAATGCGTGCAACAGAACGGGCCGTTCTGGCTTCCAAAACGGACAGTTTTAGATTCAGAAAGGGTCGTTATGGCTTTCAAAACGGGCCGTTCTGGATTCAGAACCGGCCGTTTTGAATTCAGAACGGGCCGTTCCAGAACGCCAACCAACATAGTGCAACAGTGTGGTTCAAAAATCGAAAGCAAACCATTTACACATACACAATTTTTTTTATCTAAAAATTAATATATTTTAAAAAATAAAAATTATATTCTAATATATATATATATATATATTTAAATTATCGTATGTATAAAATAATTTTTTATCTAAAAAATTAATATATTTTAAAAAATAAAAATTATATTCTAATATATATATATATATATATTTAAATTATCGTATGTATAAAATATAAATTTCAAGGAGTTATTCATTTATCTGATATTTATCAAAATTTTCTACTTTCTATTTATTGATTATGTTGATAAAAAAATTAAAATTGTAAAAAGGCTTAAATATGTTTTTAGTCCCTCAAATTTAAGATAATATTGTTTTGGTCCCTCAAATTTAAAACTGTTGTTTTTAGTCCCTGTAATTTTCAAAAATCTTGTTTTAGTCCCTTAGGTCACCAATAACATATTTGAAAGTGACTAATTAAGACAATTATGCAATATAAACCGGATTTAATGTGATATTTTTACTAATAAGGACACCATAGGTAGATTTTATGCAATAATATTTGATAAATTTCTTAACAAAATTTGAATATAAGGACTAAATAAAGATTTTTTGAAATTATAGAGACTAAAAATAATTTTAAATTTGAGGGACCAAAAATAGATTTACCCTAAATTTGAGGGACTAAAAAAATATTTAAGCCTTGTAAAAATTTATATCACATATTAAAAACATCTTTATATGATAAATAAATTAAACTTAATTTTTATAAGATTATAACATATTTATTTATATATTTTTATTAGTGTTAAATTATTATTAAGTAGGTTTTTAAGATTGTTATGTAACTAAACATTTTAAAAATTGTCTATGACAGATAAATATATAATATTTATAACATATATTTTTAACAAAAATTAGGTTTAAATCTGTTAAATTATAATATAACATAATCTGACCTAGTTTATTTTCATCCTTAATCATAATTGTAGCTATAAAAACTTGTAAAAAATAACTATAATATATATTTATACTTTAAAAAATTATATATAAAATTTTTAATATTACAAATATATGAATAAGTATTGTCATCACGATTTAAAATTTATGGATATAATTATGTGTGACATTCTGGAATCAGAATGGGCCGTTCCAGTTTCAGAACGGGCCGTTCTGGTTCCAGATGCATGAAAAAAATTTAACATCCATGTGATATCTACGTAGCTTCTATGTGGCATCCACGTAGTATCCACATGGCCAACAGTTAACTTCGTCTAAATTATTTAAACGGAAGTCCGACATTGCAATCAATTAATTTATTAGGGACCAAATTGAGACCAAAAATAAAAATGAGACTAAATTGAAACAAACAATTATTATAAAAGACCAAAATAGATTTTGTCATAATATTAATACCACCTACAGGTCAAATAATTCGTCAAGCTATAAATGCGATCACTACATTTCAAGGTACAATCGTATAGTCACTTATATTATTTAATTTATTTTAAATTATAATATTTTATATCATATTTAAATGTTCAATATATTTTTTAAATGATAATAATTTTTTCCTTTAATTATTAATGTTTTCACTTAATTGTCATAGTTTAATTGTAAGAATAAACTGCAACATGACAAAAACGACCATAGAATTCCTCTGAATAAAAGAGTACATGTTAAAAATTGAATCCTAAAAGTTATATTATTTATGCATATGTTTTTTCTCTTAAATTTAAGGAAAAAATTTGTATTTAGTAACTCAAATTTAAAATTAATGTTTTTAATTTTTATAATTTAAAAAAAAATTTGTTTAGGTTTTTATACTCAAATTGTTAAAAACTCGACAAATATTATTACATAAAATCTACTTAATAGTTTCTCTATTAATAAAAATATCACAATAAATATAGTTAGTGCATATCTATCTCAATTTATTATTAACTTAAGGGACTATTTTTTTTTTAAATTACAAGACTAAAAATAATAATTTTAAATTTAAAAGATTAAAATTCAAATTTACTCAAAATTTGAGGGACTACAATCATATTTAAACATATTATTTATATTATATATACAATTTTTATAATAATTTCTCTTTAATAATACTAATTAACATAAGTGACAGTGATTTTTATCATTTAACTAAGTTGTCTAAGATTTAAATCATGATCTTAAATTTGTATCCTTAATCAAGATGTCTAGGATTTTATAATACTTTTTCTACTTTTTAACAATATCCACCTTATATACGTTCAGCTTTTCAAATTGATATTAATCATTACTTTCGATGATGATATTTCATATTAATACTATAATTAAAATAAATATAATCTTTTCCTTATCTCCCTGTCATATCAGTACTTTTAAATACATTTTTTTAATATAAATTCTTGTCTATTTTATTATCTATTGAAAAAATTTAAAATAAAATTTCTTATATAGTGTTGCTGTAGCATTTTATCAAAAGATAACCTTCTATACTTATACTAACAAGTTATTTGAGTGAAACTTTAATTAAAATTTTGGATTTGAATTATATAGATAAAAAAAATTAATCATTTAAATTTTTTAATAAAGACTAATTATCAACAAAGTTAGAGCCATATAATATCACATTCATGTGGTGCCATCTAAGATCACATTATATCAAATGTGATATATCTTTAATTAAAAGTAAATCTTATACAAAACGAATTAGTTACTCTGATTCATAGACTGAAAATGCTAAAAAAAAAACACTTTGCTTTTAAAATACTTTTTAATTGGTAAAAATTTATTCAAAAACATAAAAATTCGTAAATCTCATATATATATATATATATATATATATATATAT